GGGGGGGGGACGGACTTCATGCACTTCCCCAGGCCAGTGGGTCTGTGGGGCAGAGCATGAGAAGTCTCCTGCCCCCGCCCCTTCTGGGTGGCCTGGGGCCACTTCAGACATGTATTAAGTGGCTCCTTTTGAAAATGATTGCCCATCCCTGTTCTACAAGATAAGACATCACAACTACTCTCACCTAGGCTGCACTTAAGACCAACTTCATTCTCCAGCTTGTTTTGAGCCAGTGAGCTGCCAATTTACAATTCCATGAGCCAGGCCTTTTAAGTTTGTCAAAGTGTTTTACTCATTCACGGCGCATAGACATGAGGAAGTGTCACCTAGTGATCGCAGCAGCGGCCTCCTCGTCTACCACTGTGTTTTTGTGATCCAGTTCAATCCTGTGCCTTAAAAGGGAAATAAGTAGTTAGCAGCTTTTGGAGGGTGGTTTTGAGGCGTAAAGTTACTGTTTTTATAGTGTTTTGAGACCTTCTATCAAATTCCCTCTATGTTGGCGACAGTATATATAAGTAGACAGAATAAAGGGCTCTACAGAATTGCAACATATTAAGAAGTCCAGGAAGGCATAGCTGTGTATGTGTGTTTGTATAAACAATGCAAACAGTCTTTTCAGACAATATATTAGGACTGACTCCTGAATTCCTCACTCAGAGGAAACTCCTACCGAGGCAGCCAAGTGTTTTGCCTGCAGAAGTACGTAGTGAGGATTGCATTTGGTCTTAAGTGAAGTTTAGAGTGACCCGCCAAAAGGATAACATTTTCATGAAAAATTCATTCCCCTTTTTTGTCATAACTTCTAGCAAAAAAGTTGGCCCTATTTTTCATTGAAATTGTTTGAAATGTACACAGCTGGCCAATGTTGACAGGTTAATGTTAAAAATAAACCTAATGTCTGCTTGCCTTTTGAACAAAGCATGCGATATAGTACTAAAGCCAGTTTGTTCCTATACATTTTAACCGCACAAACTGACCGTCTAATTATATATGCAGTGGAGTCGTCGTGTTGCTGGTCCCCGGATATTAGAAACACAAGGGTTGAGGGAGAGAGAAGTTTTTCGGGTCAAGTTTGAGCGGCTTGAAAACTTGTCTCTTTCATCAACAAAAGTTGGTCCAATAAAAGATACTACCTATCCCGGTTTGTCAGTCTAATTCTGTCCCCCACAAGTCAGTGGATGAAAATCAGTTCATAAGTGCCTTCTCCGGTCTTTCCTTAGGAGCGGGCTCTGCTGGGTGCAGTCCTTGGTTCTAGTATGATCACCTCGCTACTAGCTATGGATGCCTGGTGCTTCCTGGCCCGGTAAGAGACCCGGTTACTGTCCTGTGTGGTTCAGGCTGCATGAACGTGGGCTTTGACCGCATGGTTTGAATTGCTCATTGCTCTCAGACAGGTTCACTTGTTGAGTAGCAATGGTCCAGGGCTGGTCTCCCTCAAAGATGTAGTTTATTTTGGAAAATGAGCTGTTTTTCCAGCAGCAGGGAAAACGCAGTGTTCCCCATTAGAAGAGACTCTACAGTGGAGGGCTGGTGGTAGCAAGTTGAAATGTGCTCTGGACATGCCCATCTTTGAGGAGACAGAGCCTTTAACTCGCTGTGATGCTTTATTTTGACTTGTTTGTGTTACAAGCCTTTGAATCACTTTGCTCATGTCTAGTGTGTTTGGCGCAAGGTTTTATCCTGAGCTTGTGACTAGTCCAATGGTGCACAGCGTGGGCTGAAGGAAGGGGTGAGAGATGCTTGAGGGAGGGCTCTTGCGGTGCACGTCCTTAGCTACGCGTCTCCTGTGGCTTGCAGGAGAGGGGCTTTCCATTACAGCCCCTGGAAAGTGAGCGGGACGGGGGTTCTGGCGGGATCTGGCCAAACTGTTCTAGCCTATTGACTTTCTGAGCATGGCTTCCCAATTTTGGCAAGCCAGCGGCGGTCCAGAGTCCTGTAACATGGAGGTGCTGCTGTGTTTAGGGGGGTTTCTTAAAAAAACCCACCCAAACATCTGCCAAGAATGGACTTGCCACTCACACTTTGCCCCCTTGTGCACATGCATTATGCACGGGGGTTAAAGGAAGATCAGACCATTTCTCAAATAATTTATTAACATCACACGTGTGCCACCTTAGATCTACTTCTCTAGTATCATGTAACTTGCATTCCCCTATAGTGACACTAATGTCACTGTGAGAGTGGTCCAGTGAACCTGTATTGGCTAAAAGTCTTAGGAAAGTGTTCTTCACTCTACATACAACACTCACTTGAATTTATTATTCGAGTAGCATCAGCAGCGTTCATGTAGTCACGTATGGACTGTGCACTTGGACATAGCTGTCTTTTTTTAAATATTGCCATCACAGGCAATGCAACAGCGGTCCTGTGTTTTGACCTGCAAAAGGTGGGCCCAGTTTCCTCCCTCCTACTGCTAATTCGAGTCCTCTACATTCCTTGATTTGGTGGCCAGAGAACAGCTTTGGGGTTCTCTCCTGGCAAATGAAATATGCAGAGGCCTTAGGAAACCCCATTTCTCTGCTGTGTGTGGCAGAGCATGAACTATGCTCTCAGAGCCAGCAGGACAGATGTGCTAACGGGCTTACCTAGCTCTCTCTGTTGCATCCCAGGTATGGAACAGCTGACCTGTGCGCTCATCATGCCAGTGTGATTGCCCACGTGGTGAGTAGCATGGCAGAGGCTGGTGTACGCACGCATGGGTGTGCTTGAACAAACCGTGCTTCCCCTCCTCTCTGTGCCTCATTTTTGCTATCCACAAAATGGGGAGAATCCTGTAACACCTGTAGCACTGAAAATACAGCAAGTGGTGATAACTACACAGACGCTGCCAAATTGATGTGCTAATGTAGGAGTTACTATAACGATCTAACGAAAGGAGCGTACAGAGAGGAAGTCAGCGAGATGTCCCAGGAATAAATAAGAGCACAGGAGCAGACACAGGCAATACAAATAGTGCCCTGAAGTAGAAAGCAGTCGATGGCCTGTAATGCAGGGGAAGACCTGGCCGCAGTGGCTCATCGGGAGGTTTTGATTCAAAAGGGAAATGCAGTCTTTGGTGTAAGAGGAGGATTTGTTGCTGCCCGAACAGAGGCCCAGGAGCTGTTAATGTTCCAGGTCATTTTCTTGAGGCTTTGGAAATGGTTCATGTGCAGGAGCAGCATCTCTCTCTTCTTTGAGGAGCTCAGTTCCCTGTTATCCCACTTCAGATAAAGGCTTCCCCTGGCGAATGTCACCAGCTCTCTGCCTTGGGAGTCCTGCTGCGGCGTATGCTGTTTTTGATGGCTCCAGAGCACCAGGCAAGTCCAGCGCCGATTTCCCCAGAACTCCAGCTGGCCTCTAGTAAATCACCAACCCTCCATCTTCAGTGCGCTGGAAACAAGAGGGTGGAGCAGACAGTGGTTTCTTGCCAGCCTGGTGGTGTGAGATGGTAAAGCAGAAAGGGCGCAGGGGGTTCCCGCCATAAGTAACTCGGCCGGTGGGCTGCCCCAGAAGTGCTTTCTCTGACTGCTCGCCTGCATGAAGCTACGCAGCGTGAGTGGTAGCAGGAGGGGCTCTTCAGCAGCAGGCCGCTGTCCACGGGGAACTGTTCCCCAAAGGCCGGGGGTCAGTGCATCAGCTGCCCTTGCCCTGGCGACCTCAGAGAAGCAAAACGGAGTGGGGATTGCTGGGGGTGTGGCCTGTTCTCTGGTGCTAGTCGGCCATGAGGTTGGGAGGGACGGCTGAGCCACCAGGCCTCTGGTCAGGATTCTCACACCCCTCGTGTGGGGCTCCCCATGAGTCGCACGTCCCAGGGCTTTGCACCAATGGTGAGTTCAGGGGCTTTGCAGCTCGCTGGGGCGGAAGTGATCGCGCTCGTTAACTTGCAGGTGGAGTTCACCCAAAAGTTTCCTCCCGAAGAGGCAGAGAACTTGTCCCTGTGGCAGCACATTTCTCTCAAGGCCCTGCCTCCCGAGCTCAGGGAGGAGGTGGCCCGCCAGCTGTGCGCGGCGGGGCTCTCGCAGTGCAGGCAGCGGCTGGGCGGCAGGGGGGGCCCCCGGGGGAACCCCCCCT